ATTAGACAAACCTGGAAAATACTTTCAAGTTCCTGAAATGGCCGCTGGGGGCGTAACTGAAATCGTGAATCTAAAAAAGTGATGTTTCTGTGACTTCCGCTATATTAACCTAACAAAAAAAAAACTGAGCTCTAAATTCAATTTTGCTGGATGTCTAAAAAAAAGTGGTGGGGGTATTCAACGGTTTCCGTAAAAAAACATCCTGTATCTTCGAAACGGTTGAGTCGATTTTAACAAAGTTGGGCTAGTTGAAAAGAGATATTCTTGGGCTACAAATTTTATAATATTTAAAGTTTTGTTAGTTTATAACCTAAAATTTAGGCCAAAGAAAATTTTATACGGAAATCTTTTAAGTAATTAATGCCCCCATAAATGCTCGAAATGCTGACCATCCCGCTCTATGCATTACTGAAGCCTCTCATAGGTAAACAAAACTGCAGCTTCAATTTTGGCACTCGGTACCTATGTTACGTATTGCATTACGAATCCGGTTTTTCATATCTTTTCTGGTTATATAGGTTGAGCCCCATGTCCATGGAAACAAACTTTTTTATCAATCCACGGCTCTTGAAATACTGCATTAATATGCTCTCGCACAATAATACCAAAATGTGCTGGGCAACCATCCAACTGCAAAAACAAGTTTTGCCGTGGCTCCAGTGGCACATCTTCCAACATCAACGATAATTGATTGTCCAAAAATTCATGACGAAAAACATTGCCATTTAAGGATTGCTCGAAAAAATATGGACCAATAATTCGGCATTCCAGTATGCCTCACCGCACATTTAAACTCCAACGCCCTTGGAGCTGAATTTCACGCAACCATTGCGGATTTTCTGCAGACTAGTAATGCATATGGTGCAGATTGACTCTCCCGTCACTATGGCTTCATCGATCCAAAGAATCTGAAATGAAAATTCTCGTTTTTCGCGTATCGGGGAAGAATCCCTCATATCGCATAGACGCGGATTTGGATATGGAGTCCCGAACTCTTTTTGTTACTGCGGTATTGTCAAGACATTAAAAATAGACTGCAAGCATACCAAGAGCTTCATCGTTCGTAAAACGCATTTGGTAAATACAAAAATTGCTGAAAGTAACGCGAAACTATGGATAATATGAGGATTATTTATGTTTTGATTAGATATTTGTTTTGTTGTACTCCAAGCCCCGCTTCTATTAATTGTCTTTTTTGTATACCTATACCCATAGTGAATAATATGCAACAAAAATTGTGTTTTTTTAATTAGCATTACTTATTACTTATCTTTTAGCGATATTTTGTAATGTTTTCAAAAGGGTAATTTTGGTCTGATGAATAAAAAAGAATTCCAGAAAAATTCGTTTAAAAAATAAAAAGTTTAATGATTTTCCATATAAAATCTTTGGCCTAAATTTTAGGTGAGGAACAAGATATCGAGATGATGTTTTCGCGAGCTCTTTTAGACATCGTTTAGCTAATTTTTCATAAAAAAAACATTTAATTTTCCTGAGATAATTAAACCATTTCTGTCGAAATGTTGAAAAAATCCCTCTAGCGGCCACATATGAAACTAACAAAACTGTTTTTAATATTATAACATTAGCTCAATGACAGCTTTTTTGAACTAGCCCAAGTGTGTTAAAATCGGCTCAGCCGTTTTGAAGACGTTCTTTACGGAAACATTTGAATACCCCGCACCACTTTATTTTTAGAGATTCAGCAAAAATTGTCGACTTAAAGATGAGGTATTCCTTTGTTAGGTTAATATAGCGGCATTCACAGAAACATCACTTTCTCAGGTTCAAGATTGCAGTTACGCAGCCAATTCAGAAACTTGAAAATATTTTCCAGGTTTCTTTCTTGGCTATTTTAGTAATTAATGTTTTTGCCGCAAGCCTCCACGATGGATATATAGGTTTCCAGATACAGCACCTCATATTATTAGTTGGCCACTCTGTACAGAAGCATCACGAACATTTATATATATATATATATATATACGTATATATATATCAGGTTCCAGACGACTACGCTGAAGCTTACGTATTTTTGACTATCCCGCCACTATTAACGGTGGCTTCATCGGTCCAAGGAGGAATTTGAAATAAAAATTCTCTATTTTCGCGTAAATGCCTAACATCCAATGGCAATAGTCCAACCTCCGATCAAAGTCTTCATCTTTCAAGGCCTGTCGTAAAACGACATGATATGGGGGCATTCTAAATGTATTTAAAAAAAAGTTAAATTCAAATAAATCTCTATATTTTGATTGCCATTAGAACCTACCAATTATGGTCCTTCAAAATATTTTGAACCGTTGTTCGTGATATACCCAACTCAAGGGATAATGCCCTTGTGCTAACATGAGGATTTCCTTCAATACGCGGTTACTATTTTCTTGTGTTCTTCCAATTTTTTGCCATTGAAACGCAGACCGAAAACAACCATTGACTCGTAAGCTCGCCACTAATCTGGAAAAAACTTTCACATCGCAAAAACGCCGATTTGGATATCGAGTCGCGTAAACTCTTTTTGCTATTGCGGCATTCTGAAGACATTAAAAATAAACTTCAAGCATACTAACAGCTTCATCAAAATATTGGCAACTATTGATAATTTGAGGATTATCTATATTTTGATTAGGTATTTGTTTTGTTGCATTCCATGGCCTGCTTCTATTAATTGTCTTTTTCGTATAAGCATTTAAACAAGAATATGCCTCTTGTTATTAGCGTTACTTACCTTTTATTGATATTTTGTGATATTTTCAAAAAGGGTGACTTTAGTCTGATGAAAAAAAAGGAATTCCAGAAGAATTAGTTTAAAAAATAATAATTTAAGGGACTTCCATGTAAATTTTCTTTGGCCTAATTTTTGGGTTATAAACAAGATATCGAGATGCGGTTTTCGCGAGTTTGTTTGGACATCATTTAGCTACTTTCTCGTAAAAAAATAATTTCAATGCATTTATTTATTTATTCATTTTGGCCGTTTTAGTAAGAGCTTTTTTGTCGCAAGCGTCTACGATGGATAGGTTCTCAGATACAGTACCTCGCATTCTTAGTTGGCCTCCCGGTACAAAACTCTCCGTGAGTGCGAGAGATACAACCGGCTGCCGCCACTATGCTGCATCCCTCTCGCGCTGAGTACCTACAGTACAAAATATTGCTCGATAAAATGCTCCATAAATATCGGAAAAATAATATGATAGCGATACTTATCTCGTGAAATGTTCCTTTTGTCAAGAGCTATCTGACCTTGAAGCAGTGTAATCAGCTGCCTATAATCTGATTATAATATCATTTTATACTTCATATCCGGTACTTTTGATGCTGGTAAAACTCCATGTTTTTCTGCCCATTAAATACAACCACATATGCAGGAATAACTCTTCATACTGACATTTCCGCCACCTCGGTAGCTTTTTCAAAGTACAAATTAAAAATGATAATATTTTGTCAATGTCATTTTTAGCACGTATGTACCTTGAAAAAGGCTACGGAGGTGGCCAAAACGTCTGTAAGAAGTAATCCCTGTATATACGAGTATCTGGTTTCATTTAGCAATCAGAGAAACATGCGAGCTTTACCAAGAAATAGCATTACCACTTCTACTAGCTTCAAATCAATCACCAATTTTGGGCCTCAATGAAAAATTTCATTTTTATTTGAATACAGAAATAGGAGATATGAAACTTATCCTGTGATTTACAAGTCAATAATCTCCCATGTTTGTGTGGCCAATAAAACCACGTGTATTGACAGAATCTTCGTGACTGGAAACGTTTCAATCACAAGGGTGATCAATACAATATCAATATAGAAGATCACTTTTGTGATTGAAACGTTTACAGTAAAGAAGATTTTGACAATACATGTGGTTTTGTTGGTCAGACAAGCAGGGGGGATTATGTATTGACAGAATCTTCTTCAATGTAAACGTTTTAATCGCAAAGGTGATCTTCTATGACAAATTAAGGCTTTCGCGGCCAGTTGATAAACTGCTGTCTTGATGCGGGTCTAAAGACCGTCGTCGGTTGGAATTTCTTCCTAACGATTCGCTAGCACGAGTGGCAAGCTTCTTTAGAGGTCCTTCTATTTCCGATGCAGGATGAATGGAAGGACCTCAGAAGAAGCTTGCCACTCGTGCTAGCGAAACGTTAGGAAGAAATTCCAACCGACGACGGACTTTAGACCCGAATCAAGACAGCAGTTTGTGATCTTCTATATTGCCATTCTACTGAAGAAGATCGCCGTTATGTTTCAAACTTCCCAGTAAAAAAGATTCTGTCAATACATGTGATTTTATTGGCTAGACAAGTATGGGGGATTATGTTTTGACAGATTCTTCTTTACTGTAAACGTTTTAATCGCAAAGTTAATCTTCTATATTGCCAATGTACTTGCAACGTTTCCAGTAAAGAAGATTCTGTCAATACATGTAGTTTTATTGGCTAGACAAGTATGGGGGATTATGTATTGATAGAATAAACGTTCTAGTTAAAAAGGTGAATCTTCTATATTGTCATTTTTCTGAAGAACATCACCTTTGTGATTGAAACGTTTACAGTAAAGAAGAATCTGTCAATACTTGCGGTTTTATTGACCAGACAATCATGGGGATTATAAAAATAATGAAGTTTAGAAAATATTGTCTCTTCCTTGTTTCATATTTATACAAAAAATCCATGATGCAGTAATTTAAACTATTTCCAGCAAGCTCTAGTCCTAGGCTATCCTAAACTATTCAAATTCAATTTAGATTGTATATCATCAACCACCCTTCCAGTCGAAGCATTAGACACGTTTTTAAAAGACAATGAATGTTTTGGTAAAACCACTTTACCAGCTTATTGCGTTATAATATACATAAATAATCCAGCACCTGTATCATCTATACTCATAGAAAAAATAAGACATAGGTGTAAGCAGGTAAGTACTGGTACTTGAAAAAATCAGTACATATGACAACTACACTGAAGATTGATAAGGGACATACACATATGTATATAAAACGGAATCAGATGACATCTGGTCTAGTTTCTCTGAAACCACCATGGGTTTCAAGTCAGTTCTCCTTGTTACCCTGGGCTCTTTGCTCTCTTTCTGGTAAGAACCTGCAACTTTATTTCGCAACTCTGCACTCTTGTGGCAAAGCATATTAGTGCCGAATCTTTTATAAGAAATATAATGAAACTCCAAATATTATTTAATCCACTCATGTTTCCACCGTTAATACTAAGACGGACCTTGAAGATCAAAAAACGGTCCAATAGGTTGATGCTTTTCACGAAGGTATATTCTGAGAGAAATTGTTTTTTTTTTGTCAATGATATTCTGTATATGCAATGATTTTCATCATAAACCGTCAAAATAATAGCCTCCACTAGGTTGACTCTGCACTTTCTACTTAACAATATCATCAGTTCATAAATGACTATATTTGGCACATCTACAAACATGTAAAACAAATATATTAAATAGATCGAGTCAGTCAAACAAGTCCATACAATTAAAATTTGAGACATACCTCCAACCCACTGCAACATTCCACTCCCCAATTTTTGACCACAATATGTTTCTGAAAATGGGCAGGAGTCTCTCTAACGTCAAAAAAAATGAGATATTTTAAATTTTTTCGTGTTTTGCCCGTTGCTGGGCCGACTCTGGATCTATCTTCAAAAATTATAAAGATTTTTCGTCCTTGGCATAATGGAAAACTTGTGGGTTTCATCAAAGTTCGATGGGTACTTTCCTAGTCAGAGAGGGTCAAGATATTAGTGGAGAGACACACATTCAAAATTTTTTTGCGGTTACAATACTTAATAAGTTAAATAGATGGAATACCTAACCCTAGCTGGACGAGCAATATTGAGTCAATTGATTCACACTCACTACATTGCTTGAATTGTATATTTATAGTAACACATCGTATATGTTTTCTAGCTCCACAGCCAAAGTGAACAAGCACTTCTTTCCACCAAACTTCAAGATTGGAGTGGCTAATGCAGCAGCCCAGATTGAAGGAGCGTGGAATGAAGATGGTAAAGGCGAGACCATCTGGGATAGGTTCGCCATGAGTCACCCAGACTGGATCTTCGATCATTCATCTCCACAAGTAGCTGCTGATTCTTACCATAAGTGGAGAGAAGATGTTGAAATGGTTAAAGAGATGGGCGTGGACCATTACAGGCTCTCAATAGGTATGATGTATTATATACTAGCTTAAGCCCGCGGCTCCGCCCGCATGGAAGTAGTAAGATGTACCTATAGGTCGTTCGTTTTTATTCAACATTTTAATGCAACAATAAATTGGTAATAAATGTGCAATCATAATCACAATAAATAACACGTGAAGTACCTCAGAGACAATTACTATTTATTATAACATACAAATTTTCTCATTTATAATATTAAGTACGGATTGATTAAACCTTAGCGGAATCTCGTCATTAGATAGGTATCGTCAAGCTAGTATTTTATTTTATCATGACCAGCTGACAAATACTGGTGGTAAAATATTCCGTGTGATATTTGATGGTACATTTTAAATTCACTAGTATTAACTCAATATTAGAGAGTTAACCCTTTACTGCATGAATTTTTTGTTTTCATCGAAAAACATCCCAGGAATGGAGAAATATACGTTATTTATGTAAAAAATACCAACAAAAATTTTGTACAATACATACTTTATTTATTTTGAAAAAAATGGAAAGTGACATACATGGAACATTATGCAACAACATTGTCCTTTATTCAGTGTGGAACCTCAAAAAACAATTTCGCTCTTTATTAAAACACAAGGAAACTTTGCATTTCGTACAAGGGGTTTAGATTGACACAATGGAAACTTGCATCTTGATCTTTGTTGTTCACTCCATTCTGGTAAATGGTCCATACCATCAAGACGTACCTCTTGTTGAGGAATTTCTTTGGTAGGTCCACGTTTCTTTTTCATGGCATATAATGTCTGAACCTCTGCTGAAGGTCTTCCTACTCTTCTTTTATGTTCTCTATTAAGATTGCATAAAGAATCAGCGATGGCCAGCTTGAAGTCTTTTAGGGGTAGATCAAATTCTTTATTGCTGCGTCTCCACAACAACCAAGCATTTACGCAACATATATCCAACACCACTTTCAGCATCGTCGCCAGATAAATCTGGATCGTCACTCTCATCGGACTCTATATCTATACGATAATAAATATTATACCATTATGTATTTAAATTTTCAAAAGTAATTATATTTACTTTAACTACTTGACCCTGAGCATGAGCTCCTTTAACTGCGGAATATTTCTATTGGAAATAGTACTTCAAATAAAAACTGCCTTTTCACGTTAGCGGAAACGTATGAAAACATTTAATTCATCCCTAATGAAGTCTTATAGACTGAACAAAAATCGAGAATGGGGATTACACCCGAATGCCACATACTCCTAATACTTCAGGGGTGTCGCAGGAATTAAATTTAGAGATCCTATTATTCATAATATACATTCATGACCTGACACTGCAGCTACCTAAATTGAAGCTATTGTTAGCAGATAATTTGGAAATATTCAATGAAATTGAAAATTACAGTGACTGTATGGAATTGCAACAAGCCCTGAATAGGTTGAGTAAATGGTGCGTTGGCAACAAACTTACCTAATATAAACATAGCAAAATATAAAATTTTACTTGCAAGCTTAATCCTGTCCTGTTTACTTACTACATTGATATTACCAATCTAGAGCGATGCCAGACAATCAAAGTTCTAGAGGTAATATTTGACGGTAAATTAACGTTCTTTTACCTTATAAGTGATGGTCTCATGAACAAATAAAATATTAGGATACTACGCCTGAAACTGCTCCGGTTTAAAACAATGTATACATAATTAGGAGTAAACAGGAATATGCTGCACTGATTTGGTCGCCAATTTATCAAAATGGAATTTCACCTATTGAATCTGTCCAGCGTAAGAGTCTGAAATAAATCCATTTCAAAATTTATATCATACGAGTATATCCTGGAAGAGGCTTCTCACACAATATGCTATTTCAAGTTATGACTTTTAAGATATTTTTACCGTCGTCAATTTAATTACATTGCAGTACTTCATAGTCTGGTTAATAACAAACTTGGTTGCCTGGAATTATTATCTAAAATAAATTTTGTGGTGCCAAAGAGATCAACTCGCTCTAATGCAACTTTTTAGAGCACTAGGGGTAGACCCACCATATCGGACATGTCTCCTGTTAAAAGGATGTGTGATGTGTTTGACACTTATTGTCAAGAATGCGATATCAGTAATTCCATTCAGGTGATTTTAAGCAGTTTTAAGCAAACATATGCAGTGCTTAACCAGTAATGGTTATTTTTGCAAATGGAGCCGCAATATACTTTTTTGTGTCAATTTTACTGTTATTCATGTTTATGTTTTTTATTTATCTCTGATGTTTTATGTTTGAAATGCATTTTGTAAAATGAACTTTTATACACGAGCTTAGAACTTGATGTTTATTGTTGGATGTTCCTGTGATTGGATGCAAATCTGTTGGAATAAAGATTATTATTATCATTCAAAGATCTACGATAGATGCATTTTCTGAAACAAATTTCATTATTTCAATTTCCTTTTCCTACAACAGCTTGGGCAAGGATCTACCCAGACGGTTACAAGACAGAAGAACCTAATGCCAGGGGTGTAGCATACTACAAAAATCTACTTAGGTCATTGAGAGCATTGGGCATTGAACCAATGGTCACCCTCTACCACTGGGACTTACCACAGAAGTTGCAGGATGATTTTGGAGGATGGCTGAGCCCTAAAATTGTCGATATCTTTGCAGACTATGCCAGGTAATCAGAATTGAGAAATATTTCATAATCGCATAAGGTTTCCATAAAGTTTCTCTACTGCGATTTACAAAAGTGTTATGAGTCATCTGCATTATATCGCTGTATCGCCGGAATCTGATGAAGAAGCATAGTTGTTAGTGGCGGGGTATGGTACTTTATTATGAGCATTCACTAACGCATTCCACCTTAAGATATTCAACCATACAGTAGCATAACACAAAAATGAATTTAGAAATCTACTTTAAAAATATTTAGAGTGTTTGAGCGCTAGAATACCCCGTTCTGGCGCCTTTATAAGCGACAGCTAAGAACGAATGGCAAAACCAAACACTAACTCTTTGGTAGATTTATAAAGTTATGTTCCTGTTCTGTACGTCTTATAGATGACACCACTATCTTCCAGATCTCTTTTGGGAAGCTGGAACACAGTATATGGTTGCCTATCTTCAATTAGAACCAATAAACTAGTAATAAAGCATTCATTCGTCCGACCACAGAACGGCCACCCATGAACCGCTGTTTCTTGCTATTTGGTAACTCCTCAGCGTGGTCTAAGCTTGGCCTCAGGTAGAATAACAAACAAAAGCTGGGCAACTATCCTCAACCAGACTATAAGGTCTATCGGAATGTCTGTACAAAGTGATATCTATTACCAGAATCGGTCACTGCGAGAGTGAAAAGAGCAAGAACTTGGAACTATATCCTAGTTCGCATTGTCAACTGGGTGACCTCTGTGGCCGGTAGATGTAGCGGATTTTGGTGCTATAGTAGATACGGTCTACTCGCCATTCAACAAATTAGTAACATAACTTTCGTCCGCCCGACTACATGGAACCATGGAAAGCTCTTTCGTGCTTTGTGGCAACTCCCTAGCATGGCTAGGTCTCAGGTAGGACGACGAACGCAAAAAAGCAACTATCCACTAACCAGAGTACAATACGAAAAATGGTCTCCATCAAATATGGCAGAATACCTAATATTAGAAAAGTTGGACACGGATTTTCTTGATTGATACTTGCTTAAAAGCACATACCTAGTTGAGCATAATATGGAAATTTCTGTTGTTATATCATTGGCACTATATTTTTTATCGATTAAAGAGACTTGAAAGTAATTTAATTAATTTGTTATTCATAGTTCCTTTGGGGCCTACTGAGTTTCGTCACTAGAAGCTCGTGCCAATAAAATGAGAACGTATAATTACTATTTATAACGAGTAAATACCTTTCCTAAAGACTTTTAGATTCAAAGTTAAAGTGGATAAGTAGTAAGTTTCAGTTGGACGTTTTAAGTAACCTCCAATAATTTTCATTTTTCAATGATATTGTTAGGTGTGTACAGTCCTACAAACAAATCTTAGGTTTGGACTGCGCACTCAAGGAAACAATGAGTGGGCTGAAATAAATCCAAATTACCTCACAACTGTCTAGGTAAAAGACCAACGTTGAGGTACATGCCTTTCACAACGCTGATGACTAATAATATATTAACACTTATCGAAGGATGATTCAGTTCGAACGACACAGAAACCTCCACCATTTTCGACATCTGTCTTGAGCACTAGTACTGTATGAAACTTTCATGAACTCTCATCCTGACTGCGAGCTATAACATTTGGAGGTCGAGCAAATTCTAGACTTGCTCCTTCTACATAGTCTGAATTTTTTGGTTCCAACTGCCAGCTTGCCCTCTCGCAGTGGTCAATTTTGGTAATAGATGGTACTTTATGTAGTCTTATTATGTCAATCCGTGTTATGAATAATTTTGACTTCCTCAATATATTTTGAAGCCAAAAAAAGGTTCAGTGATTTTTCTCCGTGTATGACAGTAATCTAGAAATGTTATTTTCAAATTCACAGGATATTTGACAGTAGCTGTCATGCCTAGTGCATTTATTTAGAAGTGACATAATTTGCTAAAAATGCACAGTTTAAAATACTGTATGCCTAGTTTTGGTAACAATAGCAACCACTAATCTTCTATTCGTGAGAATTATTATATATACATATTTTGTATTTTTTTCTTAGAACTTGCTTTGAGCTTTTTGGCGATGAAGTAAACTGGTGGATTACAATCAATGAGCCCAAACAGGTAAATTTACTTAAATCTAAGAATCCTTCGACATATTAGTATGTCTTTCATTTTTTTAGATATGCGAAGCTGGATATGGATCAGGAGGCTATGCACCAGGCGTCTTTAGTCCAGGAGTAGGAAACTATAAATGTGCTAAAAACGTACTTTTAGCCCATGCTAAAGCATACCACATTTATGACAAAGAATTCAGAAAAAAAAACCAAGGTACGTCATATCCATTACATAACACATTAGCACAAATTGAAACAGTTCTGCGGTTAGGATTTTAGAGAATATCTTCCTCAAGAAAATAAAATAGTAACTATTTTTTAGGAAAAGTCGCAATTGTGATTGACAGTAACTGGTTCGAACCTGCTTCTGCTAAACCCGAAGACAAAGAAGCATCTGAAAGGTCACTACAATTCACAGTGAGTATAACACGGTATAATATACACGAAAAATTAAATAAAATCACTGATTAACGTATTCAACCTGATAGAATACGTGCCACTTTAGGTCTATTTAACATCATTAACAACCAAAAAGAAGGTGGTAGACAAGGACCAGTTGACCGACGCCGAATTACCCGCCAGCTTTTACCTGAGTGTTTTGAGAATGACCGCACGACTCCACATCTAAGCTACACAGTCGGTTTTCTTCCATTTCCCTACACAACAAAGAAATTAATGATGACGGATCGCTCGAATACTAACAATTCCGGACGTAAACTCACCTCATTTTCGGAATGTACTGGTTGAGGGTGGATTCGGAGGAACAACGTCAATTATAAAATCTCAACGAATATCTGCGGGATTAACAGCAATATTGATGCTGTTAACCACTTTCTGCATCCTAATCGTCCCGCCATGTTTTTCTTGACGGTGACAAAAATCCCGGATTCTGTCCCGACTAACCACCTTCGCTTTACAAATTACTATGTGCACTCCAATCTGGGGAAGAAAGGACGAGTTGTGGTTTTCGTACGCAGCAGTTTTTCCTGCCCCAGACACGTTTCTTTGGAATGAGACCGGGAGGATGTTCTGTGGCTTTGCCTCAACTCCAAACCATCCTGCAAATTAATTTGCTGCCTTTATCGCGCTTCCTTATACCATAACTGGTATAACCTGCTTGAACAGCTTGCTGTCAAGATCGATCATCAATTACCCTGCCTCAGAGATAGTTCTCCATTGGCAGACCATCCTTCCTATACATAGGAGATACAAAAAGATCATTCTCGGTAAGAAAGAAGGAGTATACCTACTCGTAAATCCAATACGGAACGAGGAGAAACGAACAAATCTGGAGTAGCAGATCACGCTTGGACATACCACACAAAATACTTTGGGATCAGGCTAAGATCTTACACAAAGAACGACACTGGCTTTGGAGAAAATGCAAGGAAATGGCCTTCCACTGTCAGCGAGAAGCCGGCAGCAGCATAGCCAGTCATCGCCCCATTCAATCTGTGGCAATCAATCAATACAGACGTTTTATTTTTCACTAGCTGTTAACCGCAACTTCGTACGCTTGAAACTGTTACTATTATAAAATATGATTTTTAAGTAACGCTAATAGACTTCCGATAACGTTTTGTGTTTTCGATGGCATGTATATGTGTATCTGGTTGCTTTATTAGTGGCGCCACGTTCCTCGGTTAAAACCACGGCAGAAAGCTGGTCAATGATAAAATATAAAAATGCATAGATTCTCAGTATGATACAAACTGTCAATTAAACGTCGGCTTAGCATGGCTGCCTTTTTGGTAATTCAACGCACATGTTCACCATTTTCGAACAATTTGTAGATGCAACACAGCAAATACTGGGAGTCCTAAAATCTTCCTTAAGTCCTTAATCTTTGCATTTGAAATAACGAAACTAACGTGCGGTAAAATAGCAGCAAAAATGTAAGGAAGAAATGGAAATGTACTCATTATTCAATTAGTCAGAAAATTCAAGTACTGTCCTGACACATATGTTGTTCCTTAAATACTTTTTCCTGAATTTGCAGCATTTTGGGATGTCAAGGCCTTCTACGGTATCCACCTCGACGGCCTTTGCACGATGTAAACAAACGTACCAAGCTCGGGACGGAAAACATCCATAAAACAATCTGAATACACTGGAGTATCAGTAGGATATTGAAGACTAGTCCAGATCACCAACGACTTGATCTGGCACGAACACATCTCGTCAATCGCGGCAGCTACTGGAAAAAAGCTAAGCAATCCCCTGAGAGCCTTACGTATTAACATACTTTTTTCCACGTAAACCTGATCACTCTGTAAAGTGCCTAGCCTCGAATACTGGTCACATGTTTGGAGTTCTGCCGCTCCGACTACATTATTCATGCTCGATGCTGTTAAGGGAAGGGCTGTCCGACTGATCGATGACTCTTCTCTAACGGACAGACTCGGGACCTTTTGCACCGATAAGCCGTCGGCGATCTGGCTCTCTTCCTGCACTATGTCAACGGGCTTTACTCTCCACAGCTCTCCTCCATGTTACTGCGCGATGAGCCTACCAGAAAGACCCGCCTGACTCCGCCCTCCCATTACAACCATGTCGAACTTCGTACATCCAGAACTGGACTGTACGACTGCTCCTTTGTCCCTAGGGTTTCAAGATTGCAAAATAATCTTCCTGAGTAGGCTTTTCCCAGATCTATTAACCATAGGCAGTACAAAAATTGGATTAACAAAGTTTCTTTAAGCTCCTTATAGCAGCCGCGATGCTCTGCTTTTAGGCTTCCATCTACGCGACTGCTGTGGTATAAAAAAAGGCACGCACCCTAAACTTACATCAAATCGATAACTTCTTTAGTTCTATGGAAATATGCCAATTTCAGTTATTTCAAATCCGTAAATGGTTAACCTGCCTTCACACCGCACGGCGTATGATTTGAACACTCAAGTGCCGTATCGGGAGTCATTCCTACAATAATTGTAGGACGTCTTTATGGCCTCTTTGATTTCCATTAAAACATCTAGAAAATTTCTAGTATAAATAATTAAAATTATATTTCTTTACTCTTCCGTGTCAGGCTCTATTTTGAGGTTATATTACAAATATCTATTTGCATTAAATTGTTCATGCTTTTGATTTGTATCATCTCTTATATCAGTCTGAAATTTCCTACAATCTAAAAAGAAAACATAGTCTTACAACAGGAGAGCACTGACACAGGATAGTAGAAATATTTTATGATTTGTCCATTTCACAATATGTTGTAAGATTTATTCAGTAAATAACAGGTGCCACACAGAAAAGGATCTGCTTCTTCTCCGAGCTTTCGGGCTTTTCCTTGATAACAGGAACTTTCGTTACAATATTATGTTTTCTGGTACTTCCGTTGTGCACCATATATGACGGTTTCTTCCAAACAAATACTTCCTCTCATCCACACTTTGTTGTTCTCTAACTTGTTCATTCTCGTCACTACTTTGAGATAACTCACTTCTACTATCATGATCGAAAATTTCAAATTCCTCGGTTTAACTCACTAGAATCACTACACATTGCGTCATCTTCTTCATACCAACGCTGAAGAGTTTCCTCAAAATCTTCATCGCCGTAACGTACACGTTTTTTGACAGGCCTGCCGTGGCTACGAGTTGCAAGAAATTCTTACGTAAATCGTAACGTGCCGTTTCACAGGCTGCGCTGAACTAAGAATTACAACTGTCTTGAAGATGATTTTCCCACATTTACGACTGTTTATGCGGTAGACAGGGCACCAATAGGAGAAAGATTACATAAGGGCCGCGGTCCGGCGTTGGCGTTGGCGGCTTGGTCCTATTGGTTTGCGGTGTGTTTGCCCATGTGGACGCTACGACTTTCGGACCGCTAGATTTGCAAGCGCTTGGTTACAAACAAAAAACCTTTAACCGCAATTGAAAAAATTTGGTACTTTTGTTTATTGTATTTAGTGAAAATGAAAGGAAATCGTGCTTTTGCCATTGTAAGTGCACTCCTGGAAGCACTAGATTCATCGTCAGATGATGAGGAAGTCATCAGTTTAATTTTCTCGTCATCTTCTAGTGATGAAAGCGATGGGGTTGAAGTATATGAGGGAGAGAGAAGAGGAGCGATGCAAAAGAGGCCTCGCATAAGAAGAGTTTGTAGAACGCACAGTGCCGGGTTTCTACTCAGAAGAATTCAAATCGCATTTTAGAATGTTGCCAGAAACTTTCGAATTTGTTTTGGGACATGTTGGACCATTGTTAAGCACAGCTGGGCCTAGTTCTCGACCACAAACTCCTGCAAAGACTCAACTGCTACTGGTATTATGGTTAATGGCAACTCTCGATTCATATAGGTCTGCTTGCACAAAGTTTAATGTAGGGGAAGCAACCTGTCTACGTTCAATGCGAAGAGTTTGTCGAGCTCTACATACCTTAGCTCCTAGATTCATAAGGTGGCCTGAGGGACGCTCAAGAAGTGATAGGAGAATTTGTACGTGCTAGTGCTTTCCCTGGAGTTATTGGTGCAATAGATGGGACTCACATTGAAATTAGAAACCCAAAGATGATGAACATAATGCATATTGCAATAGAAAGGAATATCCATCAGTCCAAGTGCAAAGCATTTGTACTTACAAGCTAGTATTCACTAGTGTATAAGCTGGACATGGTGCCCTTATCAAGAATATCTGATTATATGGCAGACCCAGCACGATACTTTCCAAATGATAGCCACCTTGTTGGTGACTCGGCTAATCCAATCCATCCCTATATAATGGTGCCATATAAGGACAATGCTCACTTGACATCACGACAGAAAAACTATAATTTTTGTCTGTCATCTGCCAGAACATCGATTGAGAGAGCATTTGGTGTGTAGAAAAATCGCTGGAGGAGAATTCTTGACAGACTTCCCATGGTCACGATGGAACAAATACCTGAATACCTATTAGCAGTTGCAGTATTGCATAATATTTGCATTCAAAGAGATGACTTGTTTGTCCTTAGTGAACCACAAATTTTAAATGATACCCCCCTTGTCCAGAAAAGAGACATGCTAATAGATGGTGCCACAAGGAGAGCTGCAGGTAGTGCAAAGAGAGACCGCATCATGAATAAACTTTCTGTTAGAAACATTTAGTAAATGTGATACTATTTTTGTAATACAGTCTGATTTGAAAATATTTTTAGTGTATTTGTTTTAAAAGTGACATTGATTTAAATATTTTTTTTTAGGAAATGACACATCAAAGCTTTTAAAATTATATTCATAATTCAACAAAACAGAATTCAACAAATATTATCAAAACAAACAGAAATAAAATGAAAACATGCAAAAATTGACCAAACCCGAATACACGAAGCCTAGTTTCCATCTTCAAATAATTTACGCACTGCCAAAGCCTTCTTTAGAGCATCCATTTTTTCTTTATGGTGCCTTTCCTTCATTTACATCAATTCCTGCAGTGCCTGCATACGTTTATCTTCTGTGGCTATACTTCGATCCTCTTTCTCTTTCCGTAATTTTAATTTTTCTAGGGCAGTGACATCTGTTTTCTTCATTTTTCTGCTAATGGGTTCTGGCTGCTATTTCGTCAGCAGTGGCTTTGGGATTGGCCCATGCGCAGCGACCAAATAATTCTTCCATCCGCTGTTGGTACGGCCATCTAATAGTGCCAGTGCCAGATCTATCCTTCCTCGCCAATATTATTTTGTAACGGTTTTTGAGGCCATTTGACTGAAGTTGACTATGGGAAAGGGTAGATCCAGTTAGCTTTTTAATAGCTTCGGCAATTTGTAACCACAATGACTTATGGGTTTTCTCCCCCGCATTAAATTGTGGCCTATACTTTTCGAATTTAGACAATAGCAGAAAAACCATTTGTGTAGGCCACAAAAACTTATCTTCCTCATCTGCATTTTCTACTCCAGGTGAAGCAGGACCACTGATAGCTTCATCTGCTTCTTCAAGTGGATGAGGAAATGCAGGGGGAAGAGTAGAACACGGAATAGGTGCAGCAGTCGGCGAACAAGCTGATGCGCTCTGGTCTGGATGACATTTGTTTTCTTCCTCTATAACATCCTGGTACAGACGATTTAACAGAGCCTCATGCCTCATCTAATATAAAGACAAAGAATAACTATTATTAATTGGCCAAGATTTGAAAATATAAATGAATGCAATTGAGTCTTTGCAAGTCTCTATATTTCATCAGCAAGCTGGTTCTATTTACCTCCGGAATAGATTTTAACGCGGCATCAGCTGCAGTCACTATTAATGATAGCAGCTCTTGTCCTTCGGCCTCAACCGGAATTTCAACTTCAGCCATAATATACACAAAAGGTATAAATAATTATTTATTTGTTCCCGCCTAACTGCTTGGTTGTGGTAATACGCGCGTATTGCGCGGTCCGATAGCCGCGAACAGCGCAAGCGCTTAACCCGCTCGTGCTTTGCAGCATGTACTCCGTGAACGTCTCATAGACGCTATCCGTGACGTCACGCGCTCACACCAAAGTGCTCACGGAGGCTTTCGGACCGGCCTTGAGTGCACTGTCAACGGTGTGAACGACTATCGGACCGCGGACCTGGAAATACAACAGCCTTTCTGAAGCAAAAAAAATACTATCAAAATCCAGGAGGCCATGAAGGCGTAATACAAATTGTAGGAACGACTGACGATACGGCCGTAACGCATGTGGTACCTTTCTACCTTTTCACGATGGTTGTAGGGCTATAATTTAATAGATTAGTTGTAATCACCCATGTTTGTATGGCCAATTAAACCATATGTGTTTAAAATTCTTCTTTATTGTATGCATCTGTCACAACGGTGACACTGCGTTTGTTTTTTCGCTCGCTTGTCCTGGGCTACGTTGGCTTTGCGTGGTGCCTTATTTAAATTTGGAATGATGGCTTCGCGCCATCTCAGCATGTGACGAACCTTTCATACTGCAACACGATGTTTAGTAATGTGAAAACGGAAAGAAAAAATAAACGAAGTATCACATGGAAGACAGATAAATAAATTATTGTCAAGAAGGTCACGTATATAATACAGAAGAATTTTAAACACGTGGTTTGATTGACCAGACAAACATTATCGACATGAAAATCACGAGATAAGTTTCAAATGTTATATTGGTGATCTTAAGGTAGCTATAAGGATTCCTTGTGTTGTGATCAAAGGACTTTACCTTTACCTGGTTCTATCCTCCAGTATGGTCTGTACGGCAACCCAGTATTCAACGGCGACTGGCCCGCAGTGGTCAAAGAAAGGGTTGCTCAACGTAGCAAGCAAGCAGGTCTGAAGGAATCTCGTCTACCAGCTCTTACCAAGGAAGAAATCAAACTGATCAAAGGCACCTATGATTTCCTGTGCATCAACCACTATACCTCGCACAAGGTCAGTGCTTGGTATGAACCGCCTGTTACAGATACTAGCTTTGGAGCTGATATTGGGGTAAATGATTGGATGCCCAAGGAGTGGCCCAAGGGAGGAGAAGGTTGGTTCTCGGTAAGTATAATTGATCTCCTGAAATATGATTGTAAAAACAACAAATAGTGAAAAGTAGATTCACTCTGTACTTCCTAGGCAATTATGTCATTGTTAGATTGTTTATTTCCAGACTTAACGCCATGTAAACCACGATTAAAAAGAATTCGTTCGAAGCAATTGTATGCGAGATATAAAAGTCAATCTACTTGACACAAAGTTTATTCGGAAGCCTGCTTCGTTAAATTTACTGAAGATACAGAAAAGCGAAAGCGATGTATAAAATATTTCTAACGCCGCTACTGAAATTTCCACCAACCCGTCATAAGATATACGCCATACACCGGCCTGTACATATGCTGCCAAGAACAGTCAATTTACTGATGTCTTTGGATGATGGGCGGTTGCAGCACCGAGAGCGGCGAGCGAAACTCGAGACGTCTGGCCGTGAATATTCAATTGGCGTGATAGGCATTTTTTTAAATTTGACTGATAATCAGAAACGTCTTTCGCTGATACCACAAATGCAATATTTACACCCCCCCCCCCTGCCAACCCCCAGTTTTCAATAACTTCGAAAATTCTTCTCAAAGTGATCAGCAGTCCTTGTCACGTTAAAAAACGAATATTCGGCATTTTTATTTTTTTGTATTTTGCCGATAGCCGATAACTAATGGTGTGCATGTAAGAACATAAAACGAATAAAAAAAGTAGTGAGAGTAATAGTCACTAAAATGTGACAAAATCTCACTGATACCATCGAAACTGTCAGAACGGTCTGCTAAGAAATTATAATCATTGCATATAGAATACAGGACTGAATAAAATAATACTCTAGTAGTTTTAAATTTTTCAAAAGCGTTTGACACAATCAACCAATTTTTATTGGCAAAAATGGAATATTCATGGATGTCTCAAAAAACCTTAAATTTATTTCTACTTAAACCAATTTAAAGACATGTCGCTAATTAAATTTGAATGTAATTTAAAGTATCACCTTCTGCACATATAGTAGTATAGTTGTTTCTGTTTTCACAATACTTTTATTGTTATTGTATTAACTTTTTACTTACCTAAATTCGTAGTATCACTACTTGAAGGTTAAGTGGAAGAATAGCCGTGGCCGCCCATTAATAACTTATTGTCGGTTTCATTTATATAAAAAAAAAACTTTACCCTTGGAAATGTTTAAGCAGAGAAAGTTATTGTGTCATAGTATGTAGATCCCCCTGAAGGGGAAATACCGTTCTAGGAATTTTGGTGATTTGCAGATCGGCAAATAGTATATTGTGGCACTTCTGTGAAGCGTTTAGGCTGTCGATGTAGAATAGAAACACCGAAGGGCCAAGGTTTGATCCTCTCGGAACCCTATAGGAGACAGTATAATTTGCTCGGCAATAACCATTATACGGGGTGTTAGGGAAATAATGTTCGTAACTTTAAGAGGTGATTCCTTGCATTATTCTAAACAAAAAAGTTCATTACAATTATGTCCGAAAATCAATCGTTTTCGAGGAAAGTGAGTCGTAAATAAGTAAATTGTCACAAACATTTGGCAACGCAACTGCGATACGAGCGCACGACACCATAACTGAATCAGTTGTTTACGTTTGTGTGATATTTTTGTTAAAAATATGCCTTGAATTATTGAATACTTTTACGCAATTTTTTGTGGGTAATATTGTTTATTTAATAACGCTTTCAGTACGGTACATTTACTTAAAAAATGACAGAATTTACCGGTACGTGGCGATACACACCACCAATTCCCACGATTATCAGTCACTTATTTGAAACGGTGCGATGCACGAAAAAAGAAAAAACCAACATCCGTAAATCACATAAAGTTACAGTTAAATGTATTACTAATCACAACAACACGCGATGATACATGCAGTGCAGGCGGAGTCCGACGTTGCTAGTTGTGTGAGGGATTTTCTTTGTATGTTTTTTCTTCGGAAAATTGTATTTAATAAGCAAGAAAATTATATACATTTCACGCTATTAGGTATATGAATTTAAATTATTAAGGTGCAAAATTAATTTATTTCATGACTAAAAAGAAATAAGTTCAGCATTTTTTTGCTCCGCACCTTTTTTTTTCGGACACAGGTTATAATGAACTTTTTTGCTTAGAATACCACAAGGAATCGCCTTTTAAAGTTGCGAATATTATTTCTCCAAGACCCTGTATAAGAAACGTTGTGTGAAAATTTCATTTAAATCCGCGACTGGTGAGAGTTGGAGCGGGGCCAAGGATTAGCGGGTTTACAGACCTAGGGAATGAGTGACATGGTTTTCGTGATCTATACGCGATGTAACATAAAAAAAAATATATCTCATTTCCGGAACTTTTCACGATTGCAATACATTAACGCTCATGTTACTTATGTTTATATTGAACCGTTTTCAAGGTTTGGGCTCCAGGAATGAGAAAACTGTTGAACTGGTTGAAGGACACCTACAACAATCCAGAAATCGTGATAACAGAGAACGGTTTATCTGATAATACAGGGACTCTGGAGGATGACCACAGAATTAACTACTACAGAGTACGTATTCACTGAACATTCGAAAGACGAAAAAACTTTTTATGATGCATATCCGTATTATTTTTTTTAGGACTACCTAAGTAACTGTTTGGATGCGATCTATATCGACAACGTGAACCTGACAGGATATACTGCTTGGAGTATCTTAGATGATTGGGAATGGAGAACTGGATACCAGTACGTTATTTTTCTATATTTTACGGTCAACTTTTCATACAAGACATATTCCAGAAAGATTTCCATTTTCCCATGTTTCTTGCTTTTGGAAGAAATAGAGTCCTTTAGGGCGAGTTTGTTCATCACGTTTCAGATGATGCAAACAAATATGTTAATCATACAAACCTCTATCCCAAAATTTCTAAGTTTCTTAAAAGCATTATACTATATATACCATTGATTAACCTAATCTATCTCAACATAGCCAACTTAATTCATTATTTCCGTGTCCAAAAAATTCTCCGAGATAAAATGTGATACGGTGGCGTCATCTATGAGAATTTGTCATAGCTATGTTTCTCAACTCCACACTAATAAGAAATCTCTTTGAATAGTTTAGTGTCTTATAGATGGCGCTGTAGCAGTATATTAGCATATAGCATATCTATGAAGATTAGTGTGGAGAGGAGAAACAAAGCTGGGACAAGTTCTCATAGATGACGCTTCGGTATCTCCTTTTATCCCGGACAATTTTTTGAGTGCGCGAATATAGCATTAGGTTGGTTATATTTACGTAGAATACGTTAATCAATGGCATTATTCAAAATAGCAAGAAAAAAACATGTGACACTTTAGGAAACCTGAAAAATAATTCCTTCAAGTGATACTGTTCTGTTACAGCTCCTTAATTGGAATGTACAAAGTAGACTTCAACGACCCCAACAGGGCTAGGATTCCTAAGAAGTCTGCTGCATACTTCACCCAAATCGCCAAGAACCGCTGCCTGGCAGAAAATCCTGCAGAATGTATACATTAAGCAAAAAATAAATATAAACTGTAATCACATAACTTTTTGAGTATTATTTACTTATCTATCAGCGACCCATCAACATTTTTGGAATAATGGCATCAATTTTGTCTTATTCTTACGCTTTGAAAAAATCACAAAACACTAGGAATGTCAATATATCATATAGATCGCAGTAGTTGTTTACGTACATCCCAAAGGGACATACTAAATAGAACAAGATAATGGTATACAAAAGGAGAAATAAAACATGTAATGCTAAAACAAAAAAAGTCAATCAAAATAAGTTATGGAATATGGCGATACAACTTACATCAATTTCCGAAAATAAATAAATCAAAATTAATAAGCTTTATATACTTGTATTCGAAAGTAGTAGGAATAAAAAAAACATAAAGTAAAAAGTGAAATAAATCTCATTTTCAAAAAAAATCTAGCTTAGAATTTGTATTTGAAATTCAACTTCACCAAATATCTGACGTTCTCTTGAGCCACATCGTAGACGATAAATCTGAAACAGATAAAAATTTTTTTTTTCGAAAAATAATCTTGCATTATCCATGACCAATGTCACTCCCAAGAAGATTCTTCCGTGGTTAACCTTTTTTAAAATGTAGGCAGGTGAAGGTCGATAGAAAACTAAAGGTCCGCAACATCGTGTTGAACGATAGGCATATGCAGGTGAGTAAGATCGCTAAAGCCGTGGAGATTTCACAAATGGGAAACACCTTGCATAAAAAACTAGGGATGGTGGATGTCGAATTTGCAGAATGCCAGTTAAAAACGACTTTCGCTTAATATGGGAATTCCTCAGAGATACCTTTTAGGGCCATCACTCCAGAATGCCTTTTCCTAAGGCTTCCAACGTTGTAACGTCCTTTGACGCTGGTTAAATTTACAGACAAGAACGTTGGACACATGTAATCCGTCAGCGCCCTCCCACACGATGTGGCGAATTGCCATGTGTCCAACGTTGGATTCGCGGTTTAATTAGAATTACCACATTATTATCACAGTGAACAAAAAAGGTGTCTTAGAACTTTTTTCTAAAGTTGATTGTTTTCGAGATGCATGGGACTTGGTATTTTAAAAAGTGCAAAAATATGTCATTTTCAAGCCACAACAAATCAAACAGTTCAATGTTGCCAGTATTCCTAAATATTCTTCAAATATGCATTAACAAGATCTAAAAGTATTTTAAAGGGTATTTTTGTAACCCTTTGTTTTTTAATTGTTAATCCAGCGCGCACAAAGTACATCATAGAGGCTTGCGGCAACTAAAATGGCCATTAGACAAACCTGGAAAATATTTTCATGTTCCTGAAATGGCCGCTGGGGACGTAACTGAAATCGTGAATCTAAAAAAGTGATGTTTTTGTGACCCGCTATACTAACCTAACAAAAAAATCTGATCTCTAAATTCAATTTTTGCTGTATCTTTAAAAATAAAGTGGTGGGGGTATTCAACGGTTTCCGTAAAAAACATTCTGTATCTTCGAAACGGTTGAGTCGATTTTAACAAAGTTCGGCTCGTTAGCTATTCTTGGGCTACAAATTTTATGATACTTAAAGTTTTGTTAGTTTCACATGTGGTCGGTAGGTGCCTTTTTTTTGTCATTCCGAGAGAAATGATTAATTTAAAAAAAATTAATAAATGCATTGGTATGATTTTCTTCTATGAAAAAGTAACTAAATGATGAATAAGCAAGCTCGCGAGAACCGAATCTCGGTATCTTTTGTTTATAACCTAAGGTTTAGGCCAAAGAAAGTTTTATACGGAAATCCCTTAATTTTTTATTTTTTAACTAATTTTTATGGAATTTCTTTTTCAGTTGTGGCCCTAAGAAGGACAGATTTAAAAAAGAAAGGTTTATAATGCCCCCGTAAATGCTCGAAATTCTTACCATCGCGCTCTATGCATTACTGAAGCCTCTCATAGGTAAACAAAACTGCAGCTTAAATTTTGGCCCTCGGTACCTATGTTACGTATTGCATTACGAACCCGGTTTTTCATATCTTCTCTGGTTATACAGGGTGACTTCGAAGTTGAGTCATTTATTTTAACAGTGAGTAGATCTGATCAAAAGAAATGTTTTTTTCCTTTACCATTTTTCTGGTAAAATTAAAGTAACAAAGTTATAGCCCTTTGGAAGTTTGAGTACCGCCCTGCCTATTATATGCTCGTGTTTGGCGACAACGGATATAATCCGCCTGACCGGTTCATCGCATCGGAAACAAAAAAGCGAAAGAATTTGAAACGTTTATCACGATGTTTTTCGTCAGTCGATAAATCCTGAGTGAATAGTAGTGTGTTGCGTAGCTCAAACGAAATCAAAAATGGCACATGTTTACGAAAATGCTGAGCTTGTGGACATGATTCTTATTTACGGGGGGGCAGTCTTTACAAAATGCTCCCGGATGCATCACGGATGTATGCGAATCGGTTTCCCAATCGAGTGCAACCAACCCCTCGTGCTTTTGTTAATGTAGTGCAAAGGGCTCGTGAATCAGGTGACTTAAGACCTCACAGGTGAGGGCATGCTGCTCCAAGACCGCACGATCAAATACAGGTCCGCACTGAAATACTTGTCGGGAGGATACTTTATTAAACAAGGTAACATTTTTTTTTTATTTTTTTTTTATTTTTACACACATATTTTGGTTTATCTTCCTTCTACAATCATTATCTGAAAATTAATGACTCAACTTCAAAGTCACCCTGTATAGGTTAGTTAAGTCTGGTGATCGCGAAGGCCATGGAAACAGACTTCCTTTATCAATCCACGGCTGTTGAAATATTTCATTAATATACTCTCGCACAATAATACCAAATATGTATGTTTTGCCGTGTTTCCAGTGGCACATCTTCCAACATCAACGATAATTGATTGTCCAAAAAGTCAAGATGAAAGACATTGCCATTTGAGGATTGCTCGAAAAAATATGGCCGAATAATTCTGCATTCCAGTATGCCTCACCACACATTCAAACTCCAACGCCTTTGGTGCTGGATTTCACGCAACCAATGCGGATTTTCTGCAGACCAATAATGGATATTGTGCAGATTGACTCTCCTGTCACTATGGCTTCATCGGTCCAAAGAATCTGAAATGAAAATTCTCGTTTTTCGCCTGTCGGGGAAGAATCTCTCACATCGCTTAGACGCGCATTTGGATGCTACTGCGGCATTCTCAATCCACTCTCGGAATGTCCGGGTGGATGGTGGGCTTGAGGGAGCAACATCGAAGATAAAATTTGTTTTACAAACATCTGCGGGATTAACAGCAACATTGATGCTGTTCATCACTACCTGCAATCCAATCGTCCCGCCATGCTTTTCTTGGCGGAGAGAAAAATCTCAGAGTCTGCACCGATCAACCATCTTAACTTCCCAAACTACAAGGTGCACTCCAATCTGAGAAAGAACGGGGGAGTTGTGGGTTTTGTCCGCAGCTGTCCTTCCTGCTCCAGAGATGTGTCTTTGGAATCCAACCGGAAGGACATTCTGTGGCTTCGCCTCAACTCCAAAACATCGCCCAAATTTATTTGCTGCCTTTATCGCTCTCCGTCGGACCATAACAAGGATGACCTACTGGAATACCTCGCCGTCTAGATCGACTTCCTGAACATCAATCACCCCGCTTCAGAGGTAGTTCTTCTCGGTGATTTCAATGCCCATAACTAGCTTTGGTTGGGCTCAAACAAGACCGATGCAGCGGGTAGTACAGTCGAAGCGTTCGCTCTTCCTGAGGGGCTGACCCAGCTGGTGACGAGCCCTACGAAGTAGCTGCTCTTTCTGACCACGCATCCTGTCTCTTACAGCACTGCTGTCTGTCCCCCCTGGCTAACTTACGTTTCGGTCAGAACCCGCTGTGACAGCAGAAACTCGTACAGGTCGCAAAACTTGGCATTACGGACATGCCGACTGGGAGGGGCTCAGAGACTTCTTCTCTATCTTTCCTTGGAGAGCTGTCTGTTTCACTGACGCGGATGCGTCGGCTGTCTGTTTCGATAACCGATATTATCCACGTCGGAATGGAGGAATACATCCCTCACACAGTGAAAGTGCCTAAACCAGGGTCCAACGGCTGGTTTAAAAAATCGTGTGACACTGCTCGCCAGCAGAAGATCAAGGCACAGAGAACCTTCTTACAAAACACCACTCTAGAGAACAGACAAGCCGACGTCGAGTCCAAAAACAAATACAACGAAGCGGTTAGGCACAGAGTAATGTCGCAGCGCAATGGCAGTCGGTCTTCCTGGACGCTGGCCAAGCAGATTGAAAAGAATTTCGCACACAGTTGCCTTCCATCATTTACGTGTCAGGATGAAACGATTTTATTCGACTCAAAGGCCAAGGCGGAAGTGCTAGCCAAGATCTTTGCTGCCAACTCCACCATAATATATTGATTAGTAAGCTCCGATACTTAGGTTTTAATAGTACGAGTACTTATATTGCGATTTTGACGTCCTACCTTTCTGAAAGAAAACACTATGTTTTCTACAATGGATACTATTCGCATGTTTACATTTCTACCAGCGGTGTTCCTCAAGGCTCTAACTTAGGACCCCTACTGTTCATTATTTTTGTTAATGATTTATGTGTATCTTTGGACTGTCTGAAGTTGATGTTCGCTGACGATTTAAAGTTTTTCTCTACTATTTCCTCGACAGAGGATTGTGTTGTGTTGCAAGAACAAATCAACATTGTAAAAATAACAACCTTTTTCTAAATATTTCTAAATGTAAAGTACTCACTTTTTCTAGACAGACTAAACCTATATTTTACAACTACACAATGGAGGATTCTGTCTTGGAGCGTTGTGAAACTGTGAGAGATTTAGGTGTCTACTTTGACGAGGAACTCACGTTCAATTATCATATAAACCAAATAATTTCTAGTGCATCGAAAACGTATGGCTTCATAATCAGAAACTGTAGGAACTTCGACAATATCTGTACATTGAGATCTTTTTCAGCCTGATAAGTTCAAAACTTGAATATGGATCTCTTATATGGAGCCCTATTTATAAACAATATGTTCATGCTGTTGACAAAATTCAGAAAACATTTTTGAAGTTTCTCAGTTTCAAAGAGGTTCCGATTACAAAGACCTTTTGCAAAAGTTTGAGTTTCAATCTTTAGAGCAGCGGCGGAATCAATTTTCTGTATTGATTTTATATAAATTGTTGCATGGTCAAGTAGATTGTCCCCAAATTCTCTCGCAGTTGCAATTTCTGGTGCCGCGGTTAGCTCCTCGAGCTAGTGTTCCTTTTTTATGTCAAAGAGCACAGACTAACTTATTATCAAAAGCAAGAGTTAATATGATGACTAACAATGCCAATAAAATTGCTAACGATTGTGACATTTTTGGTTGCAATTATAATGAGATAAGGAATAAGACACGTTTTCTAAGTTAAGACTTACCATTTTATATATACACATATACTTAATACCTTCATTTTTATAAATTGCTCTGTCATTGGCGATAAGCTGTTGGGCAATAAAGGCTTATTATTATTATTATTATTATTATTATTATTATTATTATTATTATTATTATTATTATTATTATTATTATTATTATTATTATTATTATTATTATTATTTTAGTGTTTTCCTCTTGTCCTATTGTGACAGTCTTAAGCGAATCCAGATCTCTACCCGAGATCAAAGCGATTCACCCTAATACCTTGCGGATAATGTGAGCAGTGCCCAGTAGTGCTATTTTCTGCACTTCAGCAACAGATGGTTTTCCTGGTAGTTGTGAGAGGTTGGTCTGTAACCCCTTTCTAAGGGTCCCTAGGGCTCCTACAATGACTGGAACTGTTCGGGTCTTAACGTTCCACATTCTGCTTACCTCTATTTCCAGGTCTTTATAAAGGGTGTCCCAAATTTAACGCAAGATTTGAATTTGCCGCCATTTGTGCAGTGAAGTGTTGGCAACCCTGAAAAAAAGCAATTTGACAGCTAACAGTATAGGGTTATGAAAAATGGAGCGTTACACGATAGAACAACGTGTCTTCATTATTAAAGAATATTTTAAAAATAGTGAAAGCTTAGCGGCTGCAGTTCGAAAATTTCATACAAAATATGGCCGGAATAGTGTTTTAACTTCGTCAACTGTGAAGAGATTAATTGAAAAATTCATGGAGACTGGATCCGTTGGAGACGCCAAACACACTGGTCGTCCAAAAACAAGCCGTTCAAATGTGAATATCGAAGCAGTGCGTGAGAGTGTTGCGGACAATCCAGGAACCTCAATTCGACGTCGTGGACAAGAATTGCAAATGTCAAGAACCTCTCTACAGCGTATACTCACCAAAGATCTGTGTCTTCATGCTTACGCAGGTATGGTTCCTATCAGTGATGATGGGAACATCCCACATGATTCGAACATCCTCATTGTTTACAACTTTATTATTTTCTGGAGTGTGCTCATAATATTTATCGCAGACCTCTATACCAGCCCCTTTGCTCATTAGCCAGTGTAGATACCTTGCTACGTTGTTGTGCCTTTTTGTGTATTCAGTAGGTGCGAGTGTGGAACATCCAGCCACGATGTGGCTTATGTGCTCCTCTGCTTGATTGCACATCCTGCACTTACTGTCCACTTCGCAACCAAGTATGCGCTTTTGGTGATAGCGTGTGTTGAGGGCTTGGTCCTGAGCAGCAATCAAGAGGCTTTCTGTTCCGCCCTTCAGACCAGAACTACGGAGCCATGCAACGCTAGCGTCTTTGTCTACGCCTGGTCTACTAAGGTTTCTGTAGAACTGGCCGTGTAATGGTTTATTTTTCAACATTTCCATTCTGCGCTTAGCAATGCTGACCTTGATTTGGACCTTTGTGTTCGACGTCCTAGAGTTGTCACTTTGGTAGTTTGATTTTATACTCGCTGCTTCTCTCTCAAGAGAGTATTTACGTTTCTGGGCATCGTGGATATTTATTATTATTATTATTATTATTATTATTACTATGCCGGAGGTAACATTCAGGCATAAGACTGTAAGAAGAGTACTCCTGTCGCTCGACATCAACAAAGCTTCTGGTCCGGTTCCTGCCATTGTACTGAAGAAGTGTGCAGCGGAGGCTGCTCCAGTTTTTTCGCGCCTCTTCCAGATATCTTATGAATCCGGCACCTTCCCAGAAAACTGGAAATTTGCTGATGTGCAACCCATCCCAAAAAAAGGATCTAAGACCGACCCTTACAACAACTTCAGGCCTATAGCTCTGTTTCTGTTATAAGTAATGTGATAGAGAGGTACATAAATCGCGAGCTTCTGGACTACCTCGATCGTCACAGCTTGATTAGCGACAGGCAGAATGGTTTCCGGCACCAATGGTCCACAGGGGACCTCCTAGCTTAGGTCACGCAATTGTGGGGTAAACTCATCCAGTCTTATGGTGAAGCCCATGTCGTTGCTCTTGACATCACGAAAGCGTTCGATCAGCTGTGGCACGCTGCCCTCTTAAGCTATGGCCTCCCAGAAAAACTTTGCAGATGGGTGCCTGATTTTATCTCTGGCCGCAAGATATCCGTCGTAATTGACGGGTTCTCCCCTTCATCCTACAACGTCAACGCAGGTATTCCCCAGGGATCGGTCTGGGCTCCGACACTGTTTCTCTTACATACCAACGACCTCCTTTCCTGCACGACCGACCCAATCCACAGCTTCGCTGCTGACAGCACTCTACATGCAGGAATTCAGAGAGACAAGCCGATCTCTGCCGCTGAGCTGGAAAAAGGAAGGGTAGCGACGAGATCCTCTCTGACAAGAGACCTGGAGGCTATCACTGCTAGAGGACGCAACAATCTTGTACAGTTAAATGCTTCCAAAACACAGTACTGTAGTTTGACAAATAAAAAGCGTCCTAGCGCTCGTCCGGTTTCGATGGATGGCGTTTTGCCAAAGAGCCATTCATTTCGGCTGGACGGCGCCCAGATCACCAAGGACCTGATCTGGCACGCACACATCTCGTCAATAGCTGCAGCTGCTGGGAAAAGGCTAGGCTATTCGTTTAGGGCTAAGAAGTACTTTTCTCCGCATGACCCTCTCACTCTATACAAAGCCCAGATAAGGTCTAGCCTCGAGTATTATCACACGTTTGGGGTGCTGCCGCCCCGACTATATTGTCCATGCTCGATGCTGTCCAGAGGAGGGCGGTCCGACGGATAGATGACTCTTCTCTAACAGACAGTCTAGGATCTCTTTCGCACCGGCGGTCCGTCGGCGATCTAGCTCTTTTCTACCGCTACATCAACAGGCTTTGCTCCTCGGAGCTCTCTTCCGTGATGCCGTCGCGCGATGTGCCTGCCCGACAGACCCGCCTGACTTTGGCCTCCCACCCTAACCGTGTCGAGCTTCGAACATCCAGAACTGGGCGATACGACCGCTCCTTTGTCCCGAGGGTGTCGAGACTGTGGAACAATCTACCAGAGGAAGCTTTTCCCAGTTCTACTAACCTTAGGCAGTTCAAAAATCGAATTAACAACATTGCATTGGGATCATCATAGCAGCCACGGTGTTCCGGCATTTACGCTTCTGCCTGCGCGGAAAGATTAGTTTAAAAAATAAAAAAATTAATGATTTTCCATATAAAATCTTTAGCCTAAATTCCTTCAATATACGGTTACTATTTTCTTGTGTTCTTCCAATTCTTTGCCATTGCCGATTTGGATATCGAGTCGCGTAAACTGTTTTTGCTACTGCGGCATTCTGAAGACATTAAAAACAAACTGCAAGCATACCAACAGCTTCATCGTTCGTAAAACGCATTTGGTAAGCACAAAAAGTGATCAAAGTAACGCCAAACTATTGGCAACTATTGATAATTTGGGGATTATCTATATTTTCATATTAGGTATTTGTTTTGTTGTATTCCATGGCCTGCTTCTATTAATTGTCTTTTTCGTATATGCATTTAAACAAAAATATGCCTTTTGTTAGCATTACTTACCTTTCATTGATATTTTGTGATATTTTCGAAAAGGGTGACTTTAGTCTGATGAAAAAAAAAGAATTCCAGAAGAATTAGTTTAAAAAATAATAATTTAAGAAACTTCTGTAAATTCTGTAAATTTTGGCCTAATTTTTGGGTTATAAACAAGATATCGAGATGCGGTTTTCGCGAGTTTGTTTGGACATCATTTAGCTACTTTCTCGTAGAAAAAATCATATCAATGCATTTATTTATTTATTTATTCATTTTGGCAGTTTTAGTAAGAGCTTTTTTGTCGCAAGCGTCTACGATGGATAGGTTCCCAGATACAGTACCTCGCATACTTAGTTGGCCACCCGGTACAAAACTCCCCGTGAATGCGAGAGATACAACCGGCTGCCGCCACTATCCTACATCCCTGTAGCGCTAAGAGTACCCACAGTACAAAAATATTGCTCGATAAAATGCTCCCTAAATTTCGGCAAGATAATATGATAGTGATACTTATCTCGTGAAAGTGACTTACATCACTGCCATTTTTATCAAATATACCTGGAATATTATCAAGAGTCAAGTTGTTAAAAATATTCCTATTGTCAAGAGCTATCAATTTTCTTTTATCTGACCTTGAAGCAGTTTGATCAGCTGCCTATAATCTGATTATAATATTTTATACTTTTTTACTTCGTAACCGGTACTTTTTATGCTAGTAAAACTCCATGTTTTTCTGCCCATTAAATAAAACCCCATTTTCAGGAATAACTCTTCATACTGACGTTTCCGCCACCTCGGTAGCTTTTTTCAAAGTACAAATTGAAAATGATAGTATTTTGTCAATGTCATTTTTAACTTGTATGTACCTTGAAAAAGGCCACGCAGGTGGCCAAAACGTCTGTAAGAAGTTATTCCTGTATATACGAGTAACTGGTTTCATTTAGCAATCAGAAAAACATGCGAGCTTTAGCTTTAGCAAGAAATAGCATTACCACATCTACTAGCTTCAAAACAATCACCAATTTTGGGCCTCAATGAAACATTTCATTTTCATTTGAATACAGAAATAGTAAATGTAACATCTGAAACTTATCCTGTGATTTACAAATCAATAATCCCCCATGTTTGTCTGGCCAATAAAACTACGTGTATTGACAGAATCTTCTTTACTGTAAACGTTTTAATCGCAAAGGTGATCTTCTATATTGCCAATGTACTGAAAAAGATCACCTTTGTGATTGAAACGTTTACAGTAAAGAAGAATCTGTCAATAGATGCGGTTTTATTGACCAGACAAGCATGGGGACTACAGAAATAATGAAGTTTAGAAAATATTGTCTCTTCCTTGTTTCCTATTTATACAAAAAATCCATGATGCGGTAATTTAAACTATTTCCAGCAAGCTCTAGTCATAGCCTAAACCATTCAGATTCAATTTAGATTGTATATCATCGACCATCCTTCCAGTCGAAGCATTAGACAAGTTTTTAAAAGACAATGAATTTTTTGGTAAAACCACTTTACTAGCTTATTGCGTTATAACAGACAGTGGACCTCCGATAATCCGACAAACATTATGCAGAGCAGTTCGGACTATCGAATTTGTCGGATTATGGAGCACTGCATAAGACCCCCTATAGTCCAGAATTTTTTACAAAAGAGTACCTTGTAATCCGACAAATTACATATCCAATGGTAAGATTATATATGTTATGTATATGTATGTACTTTGACGTACAAATCATACATAGTTTATGTATGTCGAATTTAGTAAATTAAATAACAATAGAAAGCTTACGTTTTATTATAAAATTAAGCATAAATGCACATACATATGTACCAAAAGAATCAAGAATTATTAATCAAAATCATTAATGAATTTATCAAATTATGAGGCTTGGAAATATTCATACATTTTTTTTGTTTAAGGTTGTTATAACGCGAGATCAGAGCTTTGTCCCTCAGTCTTTTCAAAAGTAAAAGTTCGTTGTAGGCTGTACCATTCTCTTCAGCCCATTGTAAACCTAACTCAAAGGCGTTAATTGCAACTTGTGCTGTGACTTGTGGAGCAGTTGCAATCACGTCGTCGTTATTTTCCTGATTGTTTGTTGTATAATTAGAAACCTCTCTCATAATCTCTTCGTCAGGCATTTCATGAAAAACATTTTCCTCTTTATCCATTCCACGGCACCAGATTTCCAAATCTTCCGGACTTATCTGTGTTTCAGTAGTGACTTGTTCTATAACTTCCGAAGTTACACTGATTTGTGGAACGTTGCTAGGAGTGGTGACTATATCTGGCCATAACTTTTTCCAAGACGATTTAATAGTTCATAACGGTAACGCATTCCACGACTGACAAAGAGCAAAAACAAAGTTTTTCATATTAAATTCTTTAAAAGTTTTTTCTATTGGTT